GTTGAATGAATGTCACGGGAGATGGTCTCTCTTTGTTTTGTTTCGCTACCTGTGGTGTCGAAACGTAATTTATCACTTTGGTTGTGCGGTTGTTTCATTTGTGTAAACTTTTTCTTTTTAATTATTAGTCTCGCCAATATCGAACAACTTAATTATGTAGAAAGAAGAGAGTTTTTCTTGTTTGACAGTCTTATTGATAGTGTCAGTTTTTTATCATTAAATAATGTTAAAATCATGTTAAATTAAAAAAAATATGCAAAACAGATAATTTTTATTATAAATCTAATGGTTAAAAATATAAAACTACCGATATTTTATTTTTTAAATAATGTTAAAATCATGTTAAATTAAAAAAAATATGCAAAACAGATAGTTTTTATTATAAATCTAATGGTTAAAAATATAAAACTACCGATATTTTATTTTCGTAGTCCTACCAAAAAAGCTCCTTAAAAAGAATGGTTCTACTAGTTTTCAAATCCACATTCATATCTCTCGCCTATTATCCACCCTTTACATTCAAGAAACTAGCAATTTTTCTCAAAAAAAAAAAAAAAAAAAAAAAAAAAAGGTAAAAAACAGTGTCAATGGGGTAGGTGTGGAAGGAAGGATTTTGAGTGGAGTGTTAGTTCCCTTATAATAGTTGCTTCCCTAAGCTTCAACAAGCCAAAAAAAAAATAAAAAATTCGAAATTATGCATGGACAATGCTAGCAAAGATTCCTTGTTACAGAACCTTCTTATTTCAGCAAACCTACTCCATTAAATTTCAACCAATAATTACTTAACGCCAATTCTATGAAAACTATATTATTAAATGTATGCGTTCCTTTTATTGGCTTTCTTCACCTTACTTTACAAGGGGAAAAAAAAATGCATACTACAAGTCCATGTTGTAGTTGAGTCAGCAATTGGGAATTTCTGACAAATGAATCTATTTTGCTTCTTTGGGTAGGATTGTGTGAAAATACGCAAAGCTGTCTTTTAACTTCTTATGCATTAAAAGAGGCACTTGACAGGCTGCAATTATTTTCAATATTCTTAAAAATTTGGTTGAAAAATATGCTCCTCGTTACCAACCAATGCAATCCTTTATTATATTTTTGGGCGTTGCCAGGCGGTGACTTGGTGAGCATTTGATTGTGCTATTATTAGTTTTCTTTTCTTTGCAATTTATTAACTATGCAACAATATTAATAACGAAATTTTAGTGGTAAAAAAGTATAAAGCAAAATTCAACACCGACGTGCCAAATAAACCTCTTTTTTTTTTTTTTGAAAATCTAAAAGGATAGGTTCCTACTGATAGTGTAATTTTTTAATCATCGGATATGTTAAAATCATATTAAAACAAAAATTATATGAAAATTGATAATGTTTTTAGAGTTAATCTTAGAACTTGGTCACTAAAATGTATTCTCAATCTTACTTTGGTCCATGTCATTTAAAACATCCTACAATTAGTTCTTGAGTTTTTATTATATTTTCATTTAGTCATTCAGTTAAATTGGTGTTAAATATTTAATAGAATCTGTGTAAATTAGTAACAAAAATTAGAAATAGTTAAAAATTAGAGACTATCTATAGAATTTTTTTTTTTTTTTGATTGTTTTAGTCTTTAAACTTTAAGGGTCAGTTTAGTTCGTTGATTCGAGTTAATATATGACTTTATGTGAGAGCTTTTTACTGTAGCAAAAAAATTAAATGTAACTGTTTATAAGAGCTTTTTACTGTAACAAAACTCGAATCGGTGAAATAAACGATGGCTAAATGTTTCAAATTTTAATTCTTAATTTGTACATATTCCGTTAAATATTTAGCATTTAGTTAATAGAAGGACAAAAATCGAAACAAAGTAAAACTTTTGAACCAACTGTGAGACTCTTAAATATTAGAGATTAAAATGAAATTAAGGGTAAATTTCAAAGGGAAGTTATGAGATTAACTCTTTTTTTTTTTTTTTTTTTATAAACAAATCTACAATCAGTTTTTCAAACTTCACCGTATAAATCTTCAAAATTAATAAATTAGCTTGCCAAAAGCCGCATGAGGTGGCTTGTTCTATTCTTCCCCCCACTATAAACGGCTTCGTATATTGTTTTTAAATAAAAAAGGGCTTTATCTAATATGTGGATATTTTAACGTCAATAGGTTATCGTTTTGTCGGCGTTACAATTTGGTAATCTTTCGTTATCAGTTGACGTGTACAATGTGTTTTAATTTGGACTTCGTATAATAGCATTGGTCATGTATGGTGACAAATTGTCTCCCCGAATGACACAAAATTGTATGTTTTATATGAATTAAATTTTACTTAAATTTAAGGATTATTATCGATGGCACTTTCGGCACCTGTATTTTTAAGTTATTACCAGTATATTCTTTAAATTTTGAAAATTCTTACCTTATTTTATGAATTTTAGATTAGTCTCATTTAAGTTATTAGGAATTTCTGTTAAAATTATATGAGAAAAAAGAAAAAAGTGTAGTCATGTGATTTTTATCTGTTTACTTTTAATAAATATTCAAACGAAAAGACTATGTGACTGCATTACTTTTTTTTTATATCTGTTTTTAACAGAAATTTTCAACAAAGAAATTAAGTGAGAACAATTAAAAATTTAAACAATAAAATGAAAATTTATAAAGTTTTGAGACAAATTGAATATGACCCTAAAATTTTAAAGACATGGGTGATAATAATCTTAAATTTAATTAGATTCCTTATTTCAAGATATTTTTTACCTCTATTTCACTTGAAGATTCACATATCTCGTCAAAAAAGAAAATAATCACATGAAGAGACTTTAAAAGCTACTTTGTTCTAATTTCAAAAGACTTTACAACGTTTGTGAAAACAACAAAATGTTAAAGCCAAACTAAGAAAAGAAAGAAGAATTCTATAGTCTGATATAAAAGATCTTTTAACAGTTTTCTCAAAAAAAAAAAAAATATATATATATATATATATATATTTTAATAGTCAAACCTGTATAGATTTTGTCAATTTTATATAATCAATTTATTTTTTTTGGCTGAAAACTAGTATATATTAGAAAATATTATGACATCCTTAGCACTAATTACCTAATACAAAATAAGAAAATCAAAAGTATATTTGCCATATATATAATATTTAGTCATTGTTTTAGTGACTCGAATGTTCAATCACTCGTTAAAAAAAAAATGTTCCATCACTTCGCATATAAGATATTCGAACAAATTATTTTCCGTATAGTAATTTATACTGAACACAAGCAAAACAGAATCACACATAGAGCAAACAAGGAAGAAAAAAAATGACTAAAAAAAACAAGGAAAAAGACATTCTATAAAAAAAGGAACAACAATATGTATGTATGTATATGTGTATATATATATATATATATATAAAAGAACAATATTTCGGCCAAAAAGAAAACAAACAATGAAAAATAGAAATTAAAAATTTTGTTTTAAAAATAATTGATGACGTGGCAGCACTAGCGCACGCTCAACGTAGAGGAGAGCCACACAGAGGGAGAGAATCCAAGCAAACGAAAGCGCAAGGTGGAGGAAGCCGTTATTAGTTATTACCCTCACCTTCAATAACTAACCGCCACCTGTAGAAGCGGTATAAGCATGACACGTGGAACGATCTCCGCCGTTTATTTGCTACTACTCCACTACAGACCATTCCAGAAAACGAAACTCCAAATCCACAAATCCGGATCTTAAAAAAGAACAGAATAACGTAGAGGCGTTTTCAATTTTGTTTCTCCAATTTTGGTGATTAAGGCCTCATTTATTTTATCAATTTAAATTTAAAATTTGAGTTTTATTACAGTAAAAAATTCTTAAAAACAGTCACATTTAATTTTTTTATTATGATAAAAAAATTTCACATAAAGTCACATTTTAACTCGAATTAGCGAACTAAACGGACATTGAATAATGTGATTGTCTATTCATATGTTAGTTTTTTACTTAGTAAGACAAAATATTTGTCAATTAATTTAGTATTATCCGTCCATTAAAATGTGACATGTCAATTGCCAGAAGAACAACTTGTTTTGTTTTCTTTTGAGAAAGTAATTTAATAGTCGAAGTTGTTAGCAAAATAAAATAAAATATTAGTGGTTGAAGTTTTTGTAAATGACTCGAAAGTCACATTCTTAAGGCAACATCACATCCGTTTTGTGACGGCTAAAAGACAGAAAATGAAAACTGTTGCATAATTATAGATGGCAAAACCCATTTGTGTCGTTATTTATATTTCTTTAAACTCAAACATAATGCTAAACATTACTAGCTAAAAATTTACCATGGCAATTGGAGTTTGATTTTTAGCCCAAAAAAATGAAGTTAGATGCAATGTTTTAGCGTAATGTCACGCTCTTTAATGCTGTAAGGGTCGATGGTTTTATGGCTCTATTTCATCGGTAAAAAATTTGATGTTTTATATACGAATTTATTGAAAATAATGAAGTTGTGTGTTTGACTTGCAAGGACTTAAACCTTATTCCATACAAATCATTTTTTTTTTTGTTCCATCCATGAATGAGTTTTTCTTAAGAAATTTTTAGCTTAGAGAGTTAAAAAAAAAAAAAAAAAAAAAACCCTAGTGATTGGGTTCAAAACATAAAATCCGTCTTCTTTTTTTTTTTTTATCATCGTGCATAATATATATTTTTTTGTAATATGATTTTCATCAAATTTGGCATTGTTTTTATCATAATTCAAATTACAACATAAGTTCTATTATTATAATATTTTCTCCATAAAAATTTTAATTTTTTTTATAATATTTTTCTGTTACACACATAACTCAAATTATTAACCAAATATTTCTTAAATATAAATAGATAGTATTTTTGTTAACTTGGAAAAAAAAAAGAATGATAAAACTCTTAAATAAATTAATAAGAGCCCGTTAAAGGCAGGAAGGAACGGTTGGAGAAAGCCATTCCCATTCCCGAATCCCAACGCAGCACGTTCCCCTTCCCATCCGAAAAGACGCCAAATTCCAAAAGTCCAAAGTCCAAACCCAACGAAAACGGCATCCACCATTTTCTCTCTCACCCACCTTTCCTTGTCAACCTTTTCTAAACACTTTCCATTCCTCCATTTTCTCCCATTTCTCTCTGCCACTGCCACCAACCATACCCAACCCAACACAACAACAAACAAAAGCCTTTCTCAGTTCCCTCACTCACATGCTCTCACATTTTCCCGACCTTTCCTAAAACCAACCAAAACCAAACGACACCTTTTTACATGTCGGATTCCGATTCCGATGCCGTGCCTCCTAAGCCATGGACCACCGACGACGAAAACGACGATCTCTTGCGCGGCGCCGGCGCGAGGTACGACGGCGTTTCGAGGGAAGCCAATGCGGCTCGGTCGGAGACCCTGAGGGACCACGCGAGGGAGTTCCTCGTGGCGGTCGCCGAGATGAGCGTGGAGTTCGGGAAAGGTTGCAGGGACATTGTGAAGCAGAGCTTGGCGGACCGAGATTCGTTCTTGGTGAGGAAGTTCGGGAAGGATTCCTATGTCCGGAGGAGGATCCGGGGACCTTGCGATAAGGTCTGTGGGAAATTGAGGTTCGTAAATGACTACTTGCCGGAGGATAAGGACCCACTCCATTCCTGGTCCGCGATCTTGGTCGTTGCTTTTCTTGCTTTTGCAGGTGCGTAATTCTTGATTGGTTGCTCGGAAAATGTGATTTCAGGTTGATGCTTAGTGGTTAGTAGGTAGCAGGACGCGAGAATGTCGGAGTGTTCGTATGTGTAAGAGAGAGAAGGAATCTTGGTTTGAGGAAACCGATGATGCTTTTGTCAGTGGATTTTCCTTTTTTTTTTTCCTTTTCTTTTCTCTTTTTCCTCTACTTTCTCGGAAACCAAACAGTACTCTGGAGTTTCAGAAATTTTGTATTTACTTGTGTATTTTATTGCAATTTTTGGTTAGCTTGCGGATTTGATTTCCTCTCAAATCAGTCACATACTATATATATATATATATAATATCCTATGAATCTCTTCTCAGTTTTGTTCGAAAAGGAAAAAAAAAAAGGACTTGAGTTGATTTGAATTTCTTAATATTTGAAGACTGCTCAAATGTCATAGACTCACACTTGAAGAAATGTTTCTGATTTCTGAATCTTCTTCAACTATGTGGTTTGTTACTAACTCTAGTATATCACCATGCGGAGTTTTCAAACTCACTTTTCTTTTCTTTTTTCTCCGCCCTCTTTTGGATCAATAATAGTAGTTTATAGTTATAAGTTATAACTGTTCAATCACTTTACCGTTTTTGATTCTATCAATATAGCTCTTCAAAAATCTTACTGAAATTGCAACAATTCTGCAGTTTTGAGTGTAACAATGGAACGTTCTTCCCCTTCCGTGGTGGTTCCAACCCCAGAGATTAAGAAAGTGTATATACATCCTCCTAGTGCTAGTCGCATAATGCTTCCTGACGGTAGATACATGGCATATAAGGAGCAAGGCGTTCCGGCTGACAGAGCCAGATTTTCATTGATCGCTCCCCACGCATTTCTTTCCTCACGGCTTTCAGGTTTTATAATTTAATTCTTCAAAGCACATACTCATTTTTGTTCCACAATTTTATATATATCATTCTTGTTTTCTTATTCTCGATCTCGTTTATTCTTTTAATTAGGATTACCAGGGCTTAAGGCGTCGCTACTCGAAGAATTTGGTGTCCGCTTGTTGACATATGATCTTCCTGGCTTTGGAGAGAGTGACCCGCATCCTGAACGAAGCCTTGAATCATCAGCAATGGATATGTCACTCTTTGCAAATGCTGTTGGAGTTGATGGCAAGTTCTGGGTTATGGGATACTCGAGCGGAAGCATGCATGCTTGGACAGCGCTTAGATACATTCCTGACCGACTCGCCGGTATCAATCTGTCCTCTATGTGCAGTACACTTTTAAGCCTTGTTTTCATGGATAACTGCAATAGGTCAGCTTAGCAACATAGTATGATTTTCTTTTCAACAACTTGGAAGTTAACAGTTTTTGGAGGATAGATTTATATTATACTAAGTCATGATAAAGCATTTACATTGACCTCTAACTTGCAGGTGCAGCGATGTTTGCTCCAATGGTAAATCCGTACGATCCAATCATGTCTAGGGAAGAGAAACGTAAAACCTGGGAAAAGTGGTCCAGAAGAAAGAGATTTATGTACTTTTTAGCTTGGAAATTTCCTCGATTTCTTGCTTATTTCTATCATCGAAGCTTTTTATCTGGAAAGCATGACCGGATTGACAAGTTGCTGTCCTTGTCTCTGGGAAAAAGGGTGAGGCATTGAAGATATGTAGAAGCCTTGTTTCACATTGATTCTGATTCAAAAGTTGACTTCCTCTGTTTCATAGTGTTTTCACTTTTCGGACATTATCAAATTACCACACCCTGCTGAACATTTCTCTGACCCTTTTTCAGGATAAAGCTTTAATAGAGGACCCTATCCACGAAGAATTCTGGCAAAGGGATGTGGAAGAATCAATCAGGCAAGGGAATGTAGAACCCTTCATTGAGGAAGCTATAATGCAGGTGTCGAATTGGGGTTTCAGCCTTGCGGAACTTAAATTGCACAAGAAACAGCGAGGAAAAGGCATGCTTAATTGGCTTAAGTCAATGATCAGTGAACCTCAGGAGGAGTATATAGGCTTTCTAGGTCCAATACACATATGGCAGGTTAGAGGAATCTGCATTACTTTTTTTTTTCCCCCTCTGCAGATAAGTTATTCTTTGCCGTATTTCTTCTAATACTTTACGATAAGTGAAAAGCTTGTGTTGGATATAATAGATAACTAAAATTAGCAAAGGCATTGTTCTTCCTTTGTTTTACCCCATTATTATGGATAAAGGTCAACAGAAACTGCTGATGTTTGTTATTAAGAACAGGATGCCTGCTAATTAACCTATAGAATCACAAAATTATTGGACTTTAATGTATTTCAGAACCAGAAATGTCTTCAGTCAAATTAAGCAGAGCTTTGGACTTATTTAACATTATATAGAGCTCGTGAGGAGTTTCAATTTTTCTACCAACACTACAGAGTTATAATTTGTTTTTTCTTTTTTCTCTTTTTTCCACGCAATGCTCAACAGGGGATGGATGACAGAGTTGTTCCACCGTCAATGACTGACTTTGTGCACCGGATTATACCAGGAGCCGCGGTACATAAACTCCCATACGAGGGGCATTTTACCTATGTCTACTTTTGTGATGAATGCCATAGACAGATTTTCACTATACTTTTTGGAATCCCACAAGGCCCTTTAGACAAGACAGTTGAAGAAATAATGCAAAGTCCTGTAGAGGGTAATTCTCTGAGGATGGATGAGGTAGTAACACCTGGTGACTCTGCCGCGGGTTGAGATATAATTTTGTTCTTGTTACTCGAGAAAAGAAAGGTGTAAATACCATATAGCTAGTTCATTTACTCATTGAGCAGTTAAAAAAGAAAGTGAATGCGTCATGTTAATTTTTTGTTTTCAGCTTTTGGGCTGCTATAGAAGTCAGGGTTTTGACTCTTAACATTAGTCATATGGAGAAATTGCCAATAACACATATTATACAATAAAAGTCAAGTTGGTTGGAATTTCAATTGTTGACTGAATCGAGAGTTTGCAGTTTGCACATCCTTTTGGACTTGGGTGTTTTTTCCCCTCTAAAGTGCTGTAGTTACTTGGGAAAACAATGGAAACTATTTTCTGAGATAAGATAAAAAGTCTTCTGGTGATCCATTATGATTGAACTCAAAGGTAGGAGTAAAAAGGTTCTGTTTACACCGGCCAATAATTTGTTTATACTTGAGAACCGTTCTATTGCATTTCTTTACGTGATCTTATCGCTTCTTGTAGGGAAGCATCGATTTCTGCTTAAATATTATTATTTTACAACCCGACTGGAAATTTTCTATCAAATATTATTGCCCCGTTCACTTCGTGAATTCGAGTTGAGATGTGACATTTTCTGAGAGTTTTTTACTGTAGCAGAAAAAGTTAGATGTGATATTTTCTGAGAGCTTTTTACTGTAAAAATTAAAAATTAAAAACTCGAATCGATAAAATAAACGATGCCACGTTGTTTTCAAAATTTCAATAGACCTCCCAGAAGCAACATCTCAGTCTCAGCAATGGCCAATTTGAGCGGCACATGAATAATTTTATACACACTGACACTGTATACAGATATGTGGGTAGTGGGACCCAATCTAATAGGATCACCATTTTATTTTATGATATGAGTAATGGAGTTTCATTCTCTGGGATAAATATAATTATGTGAAAATATTATTTAACTGATAAAAAGATACTGAAATATGATACGATAACAATAATATAAAGAAACTGTAACCAAGCTAAACCATAAAATCAATATTTTTGTTATTAAATTAGTTCAAATTAAATAATATTCATTATTTTAGTATTTTATACAATTTTAATAAAAATTTCTGAGGTTTTCTCGATGTATTTATTTATTTTTTTCTGAATATATGTCGACATCGACATTTTTGTCGACATAATCCGTGAATCAAAATCTCGACAACCCCGTCGACACTTGACATCGACATTTTCATCCTTGGATACTGTTGACGGTTGGATTTCGTCAACAATAAACCCGCCGGATTACCTTAGGGTTACCCTTTGGATTACCGGCTTGTGGGTTTAACGAAAGTGTGGATTCTGGTTTGATTTAAGTATTTTTGTGTTTGAATGAACTATATGTAAATGAACAAGGAGAATTTTATAGTAGTTCACTCTATAAAATTAGAGCTACATCCACTATATATATTATATTTCTTTTGTAGAGATCACAGTTTACAATGAATACTATCTCTCTCTCGTTCTTTTTCCTTTGGAATTTTTCTGGACCCCTTCCCTATTGGGGTCCTTCTTCTTTTATATTCGGGCTTCCTTTGCTGGGTGGGTTTCCTTCGTAGGTAGGAACACTCAAGTGCTCTAGGCCCAGTCATAGCCCACTAATTAGTACTGTTCACTCAACCAATTAGTCTTCTATTACGGCTCTGTGACTCTCCGTAATGCTTTTCTGTCCCCTGGGGGGCGGTTTGTAAACTTGCAATTAATGCTGTCAGACTTCTCTTATCTTTGCATGTAACCTATCATGTCGAAAAGGGACGTTCCCCTCGTCGTCAGTGGTTGTTTAACGTTTCTCGCCCCTTCTAGTGATCTATTCTGCTGTCGAGGGATCTTGTAGTGTCGACCCAGGCGGAATCAACCGTCGACGCCTCATGGGGTCATTGCCCTAATCATGGACTTCATCTTCGGGCTCTATAGCTGATCTTGAGGGAAACGAAGCGTCGAGGGTTGGGTGCTCGGCGGAAAGTAAGTATAGCCACGTGTCGTGGCGTCGTTGGTCCAGGTGTCCATCACATTTTCCCACACAACAGCCACCCCCAGGTCGAGGGCTCCTTTTTTAGGCGGCTTCGAGCTCTAGGTTCGGTTTGTCCTTTCCGTGCTTCGGGTGTGGGAAATCGGTCCCGAACCTCCGTCCGCAATGATGGTCTGGGTGCTTTGGGTGTATAACCGTCGCGTCGATTGATTTGGCATAATGATGAGTATCCGTGTTTCAAGAAAACGAATATAGGCCGTCGGATCCGCGTCTTTTCAATTTTCCGCCCTTCCTCTTACCGTCAGATACGGAGAGTGATCCCTGGCCGTTGGTCTTTTGGGGTCTTCATCCGACGGTTGGGGGGTCTTCATTCCTGACTCTTTAAATACTCTCCATGGACCCGAGGATCATTTTTTCCTTCTTCGAAACTTCAAAAAACTTTTTGCCGCTGTTTTGCCGGGACATCCGTACTTTCACCGGAACCCTGCTTGCTGAACTTCCGCCTTCATCCTTCCCATTCTCCGGGGTACACTACGAAATCGTCCCGGGTTCACTTCTTCACCGGTAAGTTCTTGGATCCTTCCTCTATTTGCGTACTCACGGGGTTTCCCCCGTTGAGTACCAGGAATACGTAAACATATATGCAGAAAACGAGAATAAACATTTAGTTAAAGAGACTTTACTTTGTTGTATTCTGTCGTACTGGATGACCTGGCTTTTATATGCGCGCATTTTTTGTCTGTTTGTCTTTAATTTCTGGGTTCTGGGGAACCCGCGGTTCCTATGAACACTCGTCGTTACCATTCTTGTATGAATGGTCGACGCTAACCAGTCGTCGCTTAGAGTAGTCACCGTTTATTTCTCTCGACGTTAGGGTTTTAACTTAGCTTTTTATCCTTGTTATTACCAGAACAATGGCCCAAAGTTCACCCAGTCGAGAGGATTCTCTTTCTGTCGTCCGTTCTGACCCCCCTTCGGTGGTAGAGATCTCATGGACCTCTTCGTCTTCCGGTGTCAGCTCTGTGCTTAGGGATATCAAGGATGTCAAGGGAAGTTTTGAGCCGGGTGACGATTTCAGCAGTGAATTCGGTAGCGTTGACCGAATGATAGATGAGGTGGTCGAGCGGATCCCTTTTACGGGGGGGAGCATAAGCGGAGTAACCGCTGCGACGGTGGATGCCCCCCTGGCTGTTGGGAATGGTGTCCTAGAAGCATTAGATGTAATAGGATATTTATTATTTATTTAATAAAAGAGTTTATTCATTATTTTATGTGCATATATTTATGAATATTTTATGAATATCAATGAAAATTCCATGGTTATTTATGTAACCTTAAACATTGTATATAAGTGTTATATACGAGAGGATAATGTTTAAGGATAATAATCAAAAAGCAATGTTCATAATGAATTTAATTAAAGTTCGGAATCTTTAATTAAAACATTATTAATACATGTCATTCCCATTTAGAATGGAACGGTGTTATCCGCACTGTTAATATGGTGAGATATTGAATGAGTGTTTTTCGCATAATGAGATTATGTGGAACAAGGACATAGACACAATATGAATTTCTAATAATTCCGTTAAGTATAGAAATTCTAATTGAGTCTACCGATGGTCATATATAGGATGATCTTAATCCTGAGTTCTTAACAGACTCTTATTTATGGATTTGTGTCTTTTGATTTACTCGGTACGGATTCTGAGATCCTGAATCCTATTCCTTGTATTTTGGAGACATGATGAAGTAGGTAGCCGGGAATGTTATTACACGAGATGAAATCCATTCCTTCTTAAGAAAGAAGTAGATAAATAATTCTCTTGAGGGTTGATTCGGTACTTGGACCAGTAGGAGCTCCGATT